CTTTAAGTATGTAGCCCATTTGCCTTTTGTTTTGCTTTAGTAATGTCCTATTTTTGTTGTTGTTTTAGGCTACTGTTCGTAATCATCATTGTTTCCCTTTGGTTGTGGACCTTAGGAGCACCAGTCGATGGGACTATTCGACCAATATCGGACGAAAGATATGGCATCATTTACGGTAACGTTAAAAAACACAAGACATATTCTGGATTTTTCTGATAATCTTCTAACATGAGAAAGTAAATTAAGAATTAGTTAACTATGGCTCTTCAAAATATTCCTCTGATCCAGACTACTAAACACGAAGAACTGATAGATAAGGCCAAATAAAATTGAAATGGTGGTTCTCAGGCCCGCGCGCATCCGTTTTGTGGTAGCCGCATTCCAACTTTTATCATATTTTTGATAAAATAAAAAGTTGGTAATGCGGAGACAAATCCGAAAAAAAGTTTCGTCGTCATTTTCTCGTAATTAAGTACTCAAATATCGTTTCCGATAGCCATTTTCAAAGAAAATACATTCGAAGATAATGCCTGCGATGTTCACACGTTGATAAGCAATGGATAATGCAAACCAACTACGCAAGTTTCGAGATTATCTCCCTTGGTGCGCTCTTTCGTTACGGAGGAGAGTTTTGTTTCTGCGTAAACAGGCAGGTGGGACAGTTATCTATATTGGATACGTTACATGGTCGGTCATAACTGTCTATCGGGATGCTCTCATCAACTCGAAAATAATCGATTATAGTAATGGCATCAATTTGTTTTTCTACAAAAAAAATCTGAAATAAAAGAAAATATCAGCGGATAAGACATCAGACGAGGGAAAAGATATGGGTCTCCTATACACGCGCATCTGATCATTGCACGTCGGCATTCTGAATGACACATCGACTTTTTCCCTTATAATAATTTCCAAAGGTCCATCATTTTTTTTAGAGAAGGCTTGTAATGAAGGAAGCGTCTTTTCACAAAAAAACTATGAGGGTTCTTTTGATTTCAAGTATCCTAATTAAAAGTAGATTTTGTAAAAGACGTAAAGTATAGATCAATATAATCATCAAAATCATCACTGTTTGACATCATGTATTCATATATAATCTTTCCATAACATTAAATACATTTTAAAAGCCCTAGCCATCGTCCATTTATTTATGCACGTTTGTGTACATCGATAACCTGTCCCACTTTCATGCTGATATGGATACTTTTTGCGCCTCTATCGTTGAAGAGCTACAATCTCGAAAATTGCGTATTGATCAGACATGGGAAGTATTGGAAGTATATCTATGAACAATGAATTTTTTCATTATCTTATAGAAAATTCGGGTATTGAGATGATGTCCGTAAACTATATTCAGATTTCACTCGCAAAGTAATTATCATAAATTTAATTAAAAGTCTTCTTTCATTTTTGACAAACAACCATAAAATAGCGGTGATGGTTACCGTTGGTGGATCTAAGTTATAGTCAGTTTGTAAAGAAACTGACAACAAACAATCATTTGGGCGGCATCGGTGTTGTATCTAGTGTGACAATAATGAGATATTTTGGAAATAAACGACATACTTATTCATTTAAACTCCATATATAGAATAAGGATATGTTGAACAATTGTCAAATTTTAAAAACAGAAATAAAAAAAAAAATTTTACTGAATCCTCTTCCGTTCTTGTGTCAGCTTAAAGTGGAGTGTCCAGCAGTAGAATTAGCAACAGTTTTCTCATTAAGTAGTAGTCGCCGCGTGGCGAAGTGGTAAATTCTTATAACTTACATGATGATAGACTAGTAAGTACCGCTTGTGCACGTGAACAGCGCCCACAGTGAGGAAATGACCACATTGGAACTGCGATAGTTGAGAAAAACTGCGCGGATTTAGAGAAAGCCCCCCCCCCCCTTCCAACGAGAAAGGGTGAGAGATATGGAATCCAGTATGTAAATCTAAATGTCCTTTAATGGTAGACATCATCAGTTACGTTTTAGGGTACACGTACTGCGTGTATAAAAATATTTTGAATTTCCAATTTAAATTGTTTTCCATGGCTTTCATTACTTTAATTTGGAAGCAAATCTTTTCTTTCCTAGTAACACTAAAATGGATGCTTAAACTTAGAAATATATTTAAATATACATGCAGTATAACCCCACTCCCCCCCCCCCCCCAATCATGCATTGCTTGGAACCTGCACGATTAAAAACTTAATCTAACCCAAGGTCTACCTTCCTTTCAAGCATCATAAGCTATATAATTTATAGAATTTAACAGTAAAAATGAAACTGTAAACATTCGTCAACCGTCAATGATTGGGAACTAAGTGGCTTTGTTCATTTCTGAGACGTGCTTTCTCTGATATCTGCGCCCAAGAGAAATTAATTGAAGGTCATCATAATGATCACGATGCAGTCTAACTAAAAAATTTTCTATGCTTTATTATTTATTATGTAAAGCATTATGTTACAAATAAGAGAACGATTAAGCCAATTTAACATAGATTACAATGGCTTTTAAGATGATTTTATGATGAATAAAAAAAAAACATAATTATGCCATCACAAAGCAGGAAAGAAACTTTTGTGTATTCAAGTGACGGACTCTCAGCTGTTTTTAAAAAGCTAACCTTGTTTATTTATAAGTATAGATATATTACGTTTGGAGGTGAAAACCAATTCCGTTTTAGAAAATAAAGTAATGATTTTGGTTGAATAATATTCTTTAGTGTATCATGTCTAAATATTTCAAAGGTGTTCTGATAGCAAGATGTTAAGGCGAAATTTCGATGCTACAGGGAAATCGGCAAAATAACTGAGATAACTCTTGCATCGCAAAATTTCATAAAACGACCGTCTATTATCTAAGAAAAATACTATTGAAAATATTTTTTACCGTATGATACTCAATATGTTCATGTCTATGTCTCATATGACCTTTACGACTCAGACCAAAATTAATGTTATCAAAGTACCGAAATGATTTATAATGTGTGAAGTAAAATTGTGTAGAATATTTTTTTTCCATGGAATATTGACTCAATATCTTCACTTAACTGTTATCATGACATTTTAATTATTTATTCTTCACAGATATCATCTCAGGAACAAGGACCATCAACGAAAGAAAAGCAACCCTTGAAGAGAAAAATGCAGCAAGGATGATTCGTCGCTGGAGAAAAAATCATCCTTTGTCCATTGCCAAATGCCACAACCCATTGACAGGGGCTCAGGAAAAACGTATTATGGTTGATGGTAAAATGGTTTTAAAGTTAAGTGAAATCAATTTCGCGACAAAACAGGCATTCGAGGAAAGTAAAGGCGCGGGTTCACGAAAAATTCGACATCGTTTAAAATCTGTATTCAGCGGCGTAACACATCGGAAGGTGCAAACGTCTCTTAAATCTCTTCCCGAGAAGCAGTCAGTCAATCCAATTTTCGATAATGTTGCTCCTCTAAAACCCATTCGTGCGACTTCGATACAAGAACGCCACCAAATCGACTTAGTTGACATGTCGCGACACACGGAATTTTATGACGGTAGAGAGTACAAGTATATTTTGTCGGTTTTAGACGTTTTCAGTCGTTACATATGGCTTCGCCCGCTCAACTCGAAAGAAAGCACGGAAATTGCAGACGCGTTGGAGTCCATATATCAAAGCGAAGGACCGCCGAAAATCATACAATGCGATAATGGTCGAGAATTTCATGGTGCGGTAACCCGATTGACCGAGGTATTAGGTTGTCAAATTATCAACAGCAGACCGTATTATCCGCAAAGTCAAGGGAAAATTGAATCGTCGCATAAATCCTGGAAATCAAAGCTTAAGTACGACCTACTAAAAACAAGCGATTCGAACTGGGTTCGCGATTTATCCAAATACGCGATGTTGCGCAATGAGGAGTATCACTCTTCTTTAAAGGCGTTTCCATTTTACGTATATCACGGACGGGAATCTAATCGTGTGCGTAAGTCTACTCGTCTTGGGCCAACCGTTTCAAATCACGTTTCTAGGGAGTTGAAAAAGCAATCCGCTGTTCGCAAGGCAGCCTTGCTGGCATCGAAAAAACGCGAAAAAACCATGATAAAGCACCATTTCAAAAAACATCAAGTTAGTGTCTATAGTGTGGGCGACGAAGTGTTCGTAAAATCTCAAACTCGGAAAAACTACAATAAAGCTAGGCCCCGTTTTGAAAGAGGAAAAATAATCGACACGAAACACAACGCGTTCTCTTACAAAATCAGGTTTTCCAGTGGGGTGTCGCGTTGGATAAATGTACAAAATATAGCTGCAATTTCACGTTCCGAAGAACTGTTAAAAAGACAAAAACGTCATCGATTAAGGCTTGATCCGTTGTGCGAATGTAACAATGATAAATGCTCTCGAAAATCGGATCCGAACTGTGTACACAAACTAAATAAATTTTGTTGCCGCGAAAGCAAAGTTCCTTGTTCACTGCCTTCCCACAATTTCCCGCATATATCGGATTTCTATCTTTCTGATAATTTAATAAACCAACTTAAAGGACCGAGCCTCTCGAGAACCGATACAGCCCATGACGATTTGGTTCGAAATGCGCTTGAACGAGATTTAATTCCTGTTGGGAACATTCCTAAAGACGGTAGCTGTCTCTTTCATTCAGTTGCACAATCGCTTTCTAATCATTTACAAATCGACCTTAATCAGCAAGATATTCGAAATGTCGTGGTAAACTGGCTCTCCGAAAACCCCGAAACACCAGCAGGCGACCGCTTTTCACACTTCGTACCTAATTTAGACTGGGATACCTATTTAGAGGGCATACTAGGTACCGAATGGGGCGACCACATCTGCATCACGGCCATCGCGAACGCATTTAATATTGCAGTAGGTATCGTGTCGAGCTCCCAGTCAGACTTAAATTACATTTTGCCTTTTGATCGACAAAATAAGGAACATCTTTTACACATTTATTTAGGTCATGAATTCGAGTTTCATTTTATTAGGTTAGAACCGATACCTGGCATGCAGGCAGATATTTGTTTTAATGAAGTTAATTTTCATACTGTAAATACTATGTGTATTCCAAACAGGGATCTCAACTCAAACCAAAACAGCACAGATAATAACGATGTTCACAGTAATGATTTTTCTTACCATTCGTTTCAGGAAGTTCAAATTGAGCCTCAGCTAACAGATTATTCTAGTGATTCGGTTCTCCACCTTCACCTATCCACTAACGAAAGTTCGTTATCCCCTCCGGTCAGCCATCTTGATAAAGAGCCTCTGGGTTCATTTCCTGACAGTGTATCATTTCGGACTGAAAATGAACACATCGAAGCCCCTGTTCCGCCAGCATTTGAGACACCGACATTACAGCGCTTTTCCCCAACAGCAATCTTCGAGACAAACAATCTAAGCTCCACAGAGAAAGACAGGTTATCTCCCCCAAGTCTAAATTCATCATTTTATTTATCTCCACCTTCTCTAACTCCTATTACAGATATGATAAAGGATTCAAAGTCAGAGGAACAGCCACCAGTATTATCACCTGTTCGCTTGAGGTCTAACGTGCGACCCCCTAAGAAGTTCACACCCAGTGATTATGTCAGGGCACGTAAGCAAATTTTTCCCGAAACAGAAAATGTAAACCGAAAGCAATTCACCGATTTACCTTACTTCATTCAGCGCAATATTTTGTCTCTTGTAATATACAAAAATTTCAACATGTTTTTGACTTTAATAAGGGTTTCAACACACTTCAAGCATTTGCTAGGCACCCTTCATAATTTGTGTCCTAAAATTTACTTAAATGAAAATGTCATGTTTTTATTGGAAGGTAAATCTGTGTTCCCAGAGGGCGTAAGGCACAACTGGTCTCTTCGTCAGTTGGGTCGAGTGTCAGGTTCGGGTAGTGGCGTCATGATGGAATTACGGAATGTATTGCGACCGATTTCTTCCCGATGGATTAATGGTTACATCGAGATACTGGCAACAGCAATCGCCGGATGGTACTATATTGTCGATTATAAATTTAAAAAATAACGGATAAAACGTGCAAATCTTTCCGCATAAACGCGTTCAATATCGTGCTTATTGCCCTCATAATTTATAAACTCTGTCAGTATATGGTGGTATGGCCTTTTCCCTCTGATTAGGCTTCCAGTTGGAGCCACCATTCGCGCCAAATGCATAACGTAATGCTAAAATGTGGTACGGCCTGTCTCCTTACGAGCTGGTTTCCAGTTGGAGCCACATTTCGCGGAAATATAGGTAAACGTGTAACAGAAGAAAAATATTTATTTATTTATTTATTTATTTATTTATTGAACTATTGTATTTATATTAAAAAAAAAAGAAAAAAAAAAGACTCTTAACAGGAGATGCCTCCACGTGGCAAGAGTTGGGCAACAGTTTTACTGGCAGAAATCTCCTAGAATATGCTTCCTGGTACAGGTAATTAAAAAACTTATTCAGAGAATTTGTGTCCTTAAAGAAAAAAGAAGAGCAATTACACCCCAAGAACAACTAGGCGATTAACATTGCTAGAAAACAAATGCAAAGAATAAATGACCACAAATACGTGTATATATTCACGTTCGATATTGTTAAAAAAAATTGCACATTACATGGTGTCTATTTAGCCCTTAACTAAACAGTTCTAATAAATGTAATTAGAAAATCAAGTCCGCCGACAACCTGTATTTCCACATGCTCCTAGTGCGACGCGACTTCTAATTAATACAAACGGGGAGTAACTTTAAAACTGTGAGTGTGATCGATGCCAACAAATTTCCAATTTTCTTCTGAAAAGAAAACAAAACTACTAGATTTAAAAAAAAAAAAAAAAAAAAAAGAAACAGAGCTGGACACTTTGAAAGCCTCCACAAAATTAAATTGGCAGAAAGCTTCTGGAATACGCTTTCTAGTACTTGTAAAATTATTATTTTTTATTTGTTCGTTTGATCTCGGGATCAAGCACGTATTAGCAGTTCTTTTTTCTGTCTTAACTCATTGAAGTTTAAATTTCATACTTGTTTTCATCAACACACCCATCCCTTTTCCGAACAAAATGTTATGAACATTTCAAATTTGTTTAATATTCAGGCACGTATTTTTAATGCACAGTGATTTCTGTAAATATTTCTTTAATCAAAAAAACAAAACAAAACAAAACAAAACAAACAAACAACAAACTCAGTTTCATGTAAACTATGCACGTTTTTTGGAGCACTGTCATTATCGATATTGGGCCTCACTATCTCATTAGCTTTTTATCAAGTGACCAATTTTTCTCTCTCTATCCCCACCCTTTCATTCCAGACATCGATAACTTCTTTTAACAAATATTTATTCAATGCAATTCATAATGTTTAGAAGTCAGCGAAATGATAATTCGCTGCAATGTTTCATAACACAGCATATATTTGTATTGCGTGTCGATAAAAAGTCGGGGGGGGGGGGGTGTTATCTAATAGATGTTAAACCAATTTAAATTTTTACATTATTTTTTATTTTTGGATCAATTTTTAATTCTCTACGTAGAGGAGTAAACATTACCGCTACAATGCCTCTTCCATTAGCCAGCGCCTCATACGTACAGAAAAATGTACACGTACATGCATAATATACGTATTCCATGCTCACTTAAAAGTAAAAGGACTTTTATTTGGTAAGGTTTTTTCAACACTTTATTATTTTAAATCCTTAACAATTTTCTAAAAGACACATTTCTGAGCGCTTTTTCCTTCACATCTCCACACATTGGAATTTTTGAATGTCTTATAGTATTTCGATTTTCGATAACAAACTGAATTAAATAGATTTCAAATTTAATTGTTATTCGACTGCATTGTAAATTATATAAATATAGGGCTCAATTTCTGAGTCATCGATGGCAGATTCGTGTATGTAGCGGTAATGAGAGTTAATCGTCTTATTGATAAGATGTAGAGGTAATGAGTAAATTTTTTAACAGTGAAGCGGTTATTTTGTACTCACAGCATACTTAACGATGAGTATATTTAAGCATTACTAATTAATAACTAATTTCCCATTAATAAGAGTCCCGATAATTGATTTCAAAGCCCAAATGGTATAACTTTAAAAATTAAATTTTTTAATCATACGTAATAGCTATTTTTAATTTGACAACTGCATTTTTAATCATAAGTTGAGGGAGTGAGGTGATAATTATTTAATTTCATAATTTGCCTCGAGTTTGTTATAACTATGAACTTTGCAATTTTATTTTATAGCCACCATGAGAGTCGCCTTATTCGGTTCCTCCTACGTGAAGCGAGCTTCAAACTTTACAGACTTTGTTATGCCATTTGAAGTAGGGTGGTTTGGAGTTGGTGGCATGACAGCCTCTCTACCCTGTCCAAATCTCATCTCCAAGATGTTGAGGTACAGACCAGACATCGTTGTCGTGTGTTTAGGGGGAAACGACATTTCCAGTGGAGCCGAGCCGTCTACAGTCATTGGCTGTCTGACAAGCCTTTTCCACCAAATTAAAGTCTTAAGTCCCCGGCAACCTGAGATTTTCTTCACAGAGATTGTCTCTAGGGGAAATTTTCGAATTTCTATGCAACGAGAGGAGTTTGACACAAGACGGAGGACTGTCAACAATAAGATGAAGAAAATCCTTGGCAGAACCTACATCAGAATAGACGTCAAATTACCCAGACATTACCTTCCCGATGAAACACACTTCAACGAGGCGGGAATGGTCCTCTTCATGCTTTCAATAAGCAAAGCAGTCAAGAGTCGCTCCTATGAGTAGGAAATAAACGGCCCTTTTAAGGGCCATTCAATTATTCGAAAAGATACCTCTGAATACAGGCGTAGAAACATCGCAGTTGGCATACCTATCAATTTTACCGAAATTTTCAGTAAATGAAAAATACACGTAATACCTATAAAAAATACACATTTTTATAGTATTACGTATCATTCATACTTCCTTGAAATTTCGGTACAATTGATAGGTACGCCAACTCCTGTTATAAGACTTGTCATAACTTGCGCAAAACCCTGTAATTTGGTAAACAAGAAACATATTGACCCAAGCGTCAAAAATCGGCCGCAGACCAGTTGTTTCTTTTATGAGGCAACAAACTGAAATTGCTTGATCTGTTATTAATAAAATTTATCATATATTAATCTATAAATATATCCCGGTGACATAAAACTGCATGCGACATTGCAGGCGCGGATTTTATTTCAATAACCGGTTTTTCTTCATGCATAATTATAAAAAGCCTCTCACGGAACATTTACTTTAGTAAAACACAACAAATATTTGGGATCTCTCTCTCTCTCTCTTTCTCATATATCCAAAGGAGGATGTTGAAACCCCCCACAACCCCATCTGATCCGCAACTGCATTTCTTCTCCTTGGCGGGAAAATGCTTGGCACATTGTAAAACGCGCTTTATCCTTGTCTGCTGAAGTAAAAATGTCGTTATATTCTGTCTTTTGAGAAATTCAAATTTTATCATATTTTAAAAAAAAAAAAAAAAAAAAAAAAAAAAAACCATAGGAAATGTATATATACACGTCATTTTAAAAAAAGATACAATAAATCCAACATTTGTAGATATTTCAAGCAACATACCATTGGATTCTCAAATATATATTTTAGCGAAATTTAATAACAAATATCCATTAATCGTTCGAAAATAATATAGTTCAATAAATCATTCATTTATTTTCTTTAATGCGTAATCATTTATTGAAATCTTTTGTAGCCAAGTCATAAAATAAACCGTTATTATTATTTTTTTTTTTAGACAGACAAAAAATTTAATTTTCATACACCGGTATAGTATCTATATATTGTATTTTGAAAAAAAAAAAAAAAAACTACTGAGTATTATTTCCTTCGTTTCTTAAAAAAACCAATGCCGTTCAGCGTCTGTAAAGTATATAGATATAAATATAAACAATAAACGTTCTTATATATTTCTGCAACAGCTGCAATATTAATTCTTAAACTAGCACTAACAAACAAAAAAAGCATTTTATTGTTTAAAAATATTCAAAGCTTGTACATGCACCTGTGCAAACATAGAAATAGTATATCCAATTTTCAGTATCAACACGAGATTGTGAACATAATAACAATATACAGTATAAGAAAAGTTGTTTTTTATTCGTTTATAAAATTGGCGGATATTTCTGAAGGCAGACATTATTACAAGTGTTGTTAAAGAAACATATATTTTATTGCACGAAAAGACATATCAAGAAAAAGGCTGGATATTAGGGCGACACACAGAAATGATAATAATAAAATATAACGTTATTTTCAATCTTGGACGGACGTTTTGTAAGGGCGGACATAGTGTGACGATTTTTTCGGATGAAAGGCGGACATTTCGTGGCGGCGGACATAGTGTGACGATTTTTTTGGAAAAAAGGCGGACATTTCGTGACGGCGGACATAACGTGACGATTTTTCTGAAAAAGAGGCGGACATTTCGTGACGGCGGACATAATGTGACGGCGGACAAAACGTGACTCAACAATGAGTCAAAAATGAGATACTTAGCCCCCTCCATTTCCCGGATTTTATACAGGTATAAACTTTCATGTAATTTAATTTAGTCATTGAATATTTTTCAAGAATTAGACGAATTGTATGCTGTTAAGGGGTTGAGATGATGAAAACCTCAGTGCATGTATGACGTAATGAACATTCGAAATTTGCAACCCACATAATTATATTGAGTGCAAAAATTAAAATTTTACATGCATTTAAGCAGATTCTCTTTCGCATCCCCCAAAATCATGTAACAACCACTATTATAATGAGGTATATTATTATCACATTTTATTCCATGCCTTTATATAATAAATACAGCATAGTTAATAAATCAAAACTGCACTATGTGAATACTTGGCTTATATAGTTGCAGACTCACATCCCTAATCTCCTCCCTTCCTCCAAACATTTTGAATCTGCCGTAAAGCAGAGAGAGATCTAGAAGGAGAGAGATGTTGGTCAATTGGTGACAAACGATGGAGAAAAAAAACCCTCCCACCTTCTCTATTCTTCGAAGATATAAATTGAATTATTATGTTAATTCAATGTTAATTAACGAAATGCCTAGCAAAATAGGTGTCTCATTCCTCCTAGTTAGTCTTTTAGAGTAGGCTTTCAAATCCCCCTCACCGCGGAAAACTGGCTCTAAAGTAGGATTCTCCCAAGAAAAAAATGACTATAGAGTTGTAGGATTTTCTCCACTGAAATAACTAGAATGGTATAGGAATTCCTACACTGGATTCAGTTTGCCACTCCTTCAACCTATTAAAATATTCATCTAACCAAAAGCGCATTATTGGCTAATTGAAATTTTAAAAATGCCACCTACAAATAATTTCGCTTTAAAAGTTCAATATTTTTTTTCTATTTTGTTTTTGATCAATCAGAGAGTTTAATTATTTTAGTCACTATATCTTCGAAGTTCTAATAGCTATTAAATGAATTTATCACACTTCATTTATGAAATCAATGTTATTGTAACATGATATCGACATATATACAATAATGTTGATAACAATAATTGATTTATTGTCTTTCCTAGAGTTTTTTTTTATTTAAATAAGTAAATGGGTTCCTATTACATGTAACTGAATGCCTGTAGGAACCTATCTATATTTGCAATTAAGAATAGAATTTTAAAATAGATATTTCCGATATATATATATATATATATATATATATATATATATATATATATATATATATATATATATATATATATATATATATATATATATATATATATTCTCCTTGCACTTGGCGTCATAAATTTCTCTCTCTTTCTCTCTTTGTCAAAGAATGGTATGTTTTTCTAGAGTTGCAGGCATGCTTTTGAAGCTTTCCTGGGACGAGCTTACGGCATATCATAGGGAGGAGAGAGATGGGGGGGGGGGCAACGAAGCTATCCTATCTTAGGAGACTTCCTTATCTTTGCCTTAACTTCAAGACGACGATGTGCTTATCCTAAGACATATCTAAATGATATCAGAAGCGCTGGTGCCAGGAAAACAGCTAGAATATATTGAATTTACAGAGCTTATATAATTTAATCCAATAGTTTTTGTAAAAATATTAATTTCTTTTATGAATTAAATCAATTAAGTAGACACTGTGCCGTGTCACTGTATATGTATGCATTTAACCGTACAAATGGAAAAGAGAAAGTGATAAATGAAAATACATTTATTAATTGATGAATGAAACATGTAGCAGGTTAAAACGTTCATAAGCGTGACTACGGCGCGGATGCAGACGGGCACTACCTCCAACCTTTCTACAGAGAGGAGGGGGGGGGGGTCTGTTACATCTGGGGACGAACAACCACAAGAAGTGGCATTTTGAAAATAAATCTTATTACTAATCTCAATTGTTCCTTATATGTGAATTATAAATATATCACAATGTTATAATGTTAATTTTTATTGTTATTCAAAAAGGGAATGCTTCAATTTTTTTTTCAAATTGACTTATCCATTAATATAAATATGTTTTAAAAAATTGCATATAGATTTTCTTTTCTGTTTTTTTTAATTTTATTTCTCTATTAGATCTATTACAGCTCAATACATGAAAACGGGATAAGAATGGACAAACCTGATAAAAAATTTGAAATGAAAATCGAGGAATAGCGATTATTTATAAAATTTCTGAAACATTTTATTATTACCAATACATATCAAGCGCGGATACAGGCATTTTCCGGAGGGGGAAGGAGGGTACAGAGCCGCGCACTCAAAAAAAAAAAAGAAGACTCAGACATTATTGTCAAGCAAGGATAAAAAACCATAAACTTATCCATACCTTATATAGCTATTTCGTTTTGGAGGGGGAGGGGGTGTTAAATCGCTTTGCCTTTATAGAAATACAGAAGATGTATTAATGTATGTGACTTTCTATGCCATTGTAACAGGGGTCCGTGTTTTCTAGAGGGATTGGGTTTACTATTAATATCATTTCAACAACTCTAAAAATCCCAAGGGGACCGGATCCCATGACCACGCCCCCCCCCTCCCCAATTACGACATCTTAACTAAAGATATTCCTAAGATGCTTTTGTTTTACATCCAAAGACGTATCTTAAGATAGTCCTAAGATATGTACAAAGAATGCTGCTGGTTCTGAGTTGGTTGGGGAAAAGCCGCATATGATTTGGTGATAGAAAGCGAATTCGTGTCGGACGTCTGAGAAAAATTGATTGAAATTCTAGCTTGAAGTTAATTTTCAATCCAAATTTGCTTTTCTCATACGCTTGATGCAGAAGACAAGTAATAATTTCAATTTCCGAATAGTTTGAATTTAATTCAGATTAGAAACTTCTATCCAATCTATTCTTTTAAAGAAATCATCAATATCTTTTAGGGCACGACAATTTTCATTCTATTGGGGGGGGGGGGAGGGGGTAATTAAAAGGGGGACGCTGGCAGATTTTGGAAATAAAGAATCTGTTCTTGAAAATACATGTATAAAAAATCTCTCCTCCAGTGACCGAAATCAGTGGTATTAAGCCGATATCAGTGCCAGTAGGTACGCATACATGTATCCTCAGATGTCGAAAAGCTCCACAGCTTCGAGAGTTTACATCTATAGATATACTTATATATCCCTTCAATCTGTTGGTGAATTAAAATGATTTGAAGATATATACATATAGTCTTTAAACCTATAAAGCAGAGAGAAATTTGCAACATATACCTTTATACAATACATTAAATCAAGCGCTCAAAATCTGAATAATCACCAAAGAAAACCCAAAATTTCAAGAAAAAAAATATGGGTCACAATGTAATTAAATATTGGGACTTTATCAAAGATTTAAGCATACACTTCGATATTGTGGTAGGTGAAATAATGTACGGTCGAATCTCCAAATATGTTACGGCTCCTCGAATATATCTGTTTTTGCATCTCTTCGTAGCATACAAAAATGTATATAATTATTATTTTTGCCTCATTTCTAAACTGTTTTTACAATGTATGGATTATTTCCGTACTGTATAAGGTGGAGACCGGTCCTTAGGATAAGACCGTATAAACCGAAGTCCCTTGTCGCAGTAGATGCTGGCACGAAAAAGATCTCTCTCTGCTCAAAAGCCGCAAGTGTCGAGTACAGGTCTAAATTTGCAGCCCCCCACCAGCAAGTGTTGGCGTCTCAATATGATTGAAACATTCTCGAAGGGACGTTAAACAACTAAGCAAACAAACAAACAAACATTTTTATACATTGTATTTACCGGTACATGTAAAAGTATATGTATTCTTTCTCTACATAAGATTTGGATTTGGATTCATCTGTCTTTTGCAGATACACCTGTATGCATGGTGTTATTTAATCTGAGACACCCCCCCCCCCCAACAAACACACGCTTTCCACACTTTTCTGTGGTAGCGTTGAACCGCTTGCACCGTATTGTACAGAATATATTTCGTGCAGAAAAGAAAATGAGAGTATTACACCACCCCCCTCCCCCTCCTTTCTCAGTTTTAAGAATTTAAGTTTTGTAAAATAGTCAACAGCCTATTTCCCTTTATTGCTTGTAAACATTTTGCTTTTTTAACATTTGAAAAAAAATCCTGAAATCCTGACCAATCCCGATCAAAATTACCACAAAATAAATAAGATGAAATTATTGCCTTATTTAATTATTTACCACTAAGAAATATTTATTTATCAAGTTCAATTACTTTTTAACGCGTATTACACCTTAACAAACTTGTATTTCTTCTGAAAATATTATCTATTATCAATTATTATAAAATTCTGGTTGGGATCAGTTTAATTTCGATCGGGATCGGCTAAAATTTGTAAAAAATAATTTCTCTAAAATTTCGCTATTTCGTTTCAATTTCTTTTTCAAATATGATTGTCTAACATATCCTTTGTAGCTGTGACTTGTTTTTTGAATATATTATCCATATGTTTTGAAAATATTCACAAATAATGTACTTTTTCGAAAAAAAACTTTTAGTAAAAAAATTAAAATGTCTATCTGGCTTTTCTTCACATATTTTATGAGATATTTATATTATGCATTCATTAACAACAGATTTTTAACTATAAAGCATCTTATTTGCAAATAAAACATTTTTTTTCCATTTTCTATGAAAAATTGGAGAAAATTCTTATAAAATAATTAAGAGCTAGGCCTTTCAATGCTGAAACCATGACTTAAGGAAGCTCTAAACACTGCACACTAAAGAGTTCTATTTGTAGGGTAGTTTTATTGGGTGATTTGCTCTTAGAAGAAAAATAGTATAAATGGGAATCTACAGTTAATGACATAATTTCTTATGAATTAAAGTATTCTTAATGTTATGTTAGACCAAGATTAAGTAATTGAATACATTATTTCCATTCATTTTCCTGGTGCAAGTAAAAAACAGTGATTTCTGTTCACAAATAGTTCATTGTCTTTGAACATTTTTTCTGCAGAAATAAGGCAGGTACCCTATGTTGAAAATGAACTTGATACACTGAATATGTGCACCTTTATATGATATATTTTTCTCAAAGCCCAAAAAGCATTTTTCATTAGTGTTTAGAGCTTCCTTAACATGGATGCCTTAAGACCAATGGAATTAAATTTTGGTGTGGCATTCCTCCTTAAGGAAGTAATTATGGGTCCAGTTCCTAATGAATAGAAAGCCTCATTTGCGGTTTGTATAAACAAGAGCATAAATTATTGATATAAAATTTTATTCAGAAGAGAAATCACAAATAAATACCTCACCTTTAATATCATCAATGTTCATTTTTGCATACTTAAACATACATCAATAACAAGATGTGTTTGTGAAACACTGATGCCCCCGTATGGCAGCTTATGGCGAAGGTTAAAGTTTCTCAAATGCAAGTCAAAATCCAGGCCAAAAGATAAAAAATGTTAAATTTGAAAGCCCTAGCTGCAACTGTTCAAAAGTTATGGCGAAGGTTAAAGTTTTTTAAAAGTCAGTAAAACATTAAGGTCAAGGTCAAAGTTGTTGGTATCCAAAGGAAGGTCTTGTCACAAGGATTACATATGTGAAGTATGAAAGCCCTAGCTGCAACCATTTAAAAGTTATGGCCAAGGTTAAAGTTTTTCAAAAGTAGGTCAAACTCCTATGTCAAGGTCAAAACATCAAAGTGGTTGGTATCCAAAGGAAGGTCTTGTCACAAGGATTACATATGTGAAGTATGAAAGCCCTAGCACCAACCATTCAAAAATTATGGCCAAGGTTAAAGTTTTTCAAAAGTAGTTCAAACTCCTATGTCAAGGTCAAAGGGTCAAAGTGGTTGGTATTCAAAGGAAGGTGATGTCACAAGGATTACATATGTGAAGTATGAAAGCCCTAGCATTAACCATTCAAAAGTTATGGCCAAGGTTAAAGTTTTTCGAAAGTAGGTCAAACTCCTAGGTCAAGGTCAATTGTTGGTATCCAAAGGAAGGCCTTGTCACAAAGAATACACATGTGAAGTTTGAAACCCCAAGCACCAACTGTTCAGAAGTTATGGCCAAGGTTAAAGTCTCATAAAATTTTGCAAAAGTGGGTCAAACTCTAAGGTCAAGGTCAAAAGGTCAAATATGATGGTACCCAAAGAAAGGTCTTGTCACAAGAAATACACATGTGAAATATGAAAGTAATAGCTCCAACAAATCAAAAGTTATGGGCAAGGTTAAAGTTGACAGACAGACAAACAGACAGACAGGACAAAAACAATATACCCCCGGGATCTTTCGATCCGGGGGCATAAAAAGAATTGTTATTACTTTTAAAATATGTAACTATATAAATCAATACTAAAAAAGTCTAACATTTCCAATGTTTGACTGCAGAGTGAGATATTGGACATTGGACCGCTTATGTCACAATGTTGGCAGGATCAGCTTAATCTTATTTTCATCTGTTGGTGTTCGACAGTAACAGAATTGACCAAGTTTAACACAGTGCAGGTAAAGGAAAATAACATCATAGAAGCCAGTACGAGTACAGTCATAACTGAGGTACAATGTGTAGTAGGCCTCTTGGAGTAAATAGAGAACAAGTATCAGCTGTCAACATGCAGTAGACCTGAAACAAAGTGAGAAAAATTATTACATCACTTATGTCAGCTAAAGGTGCTGTGAGCGAGCTAACAAAATAAAAAGGTTATAACCCTGCTGCAATTCTTTTATTTAGAATGTGTAAATGTGACCTTGAACTTACCAAAATGACTTTGGTAAAAAAAGGACAGATCTTTGGACATGATTAATCTAAGAGTGAAATATGGACATCCAATTTTTCTCCATTAATACAAAATAATAGACTTACATTTTTTCTGCCAGAGACCTTGAACTTGTCACAATGACCCTCAGGTCAGAAAAAAAATTTTGTAGCAAATTAAAGCTCAGTTACAAAGTTATTGACTGGACAAGTATGTTATCTCTTATCTGCCAGTGACCTTGAACTTGTCAGAATGACCTTGGCCAAGGTCAAGACAAACTTCCAGGTCATAAACAATCTTTGTAGCAAGTAAGAGCTTCCAATGATTCTCCATTACAAAGTTACAGCCTACACAAGTGTTTTATACCTTTTAAGCCAGTGACCTTGAACTTGCCAGAATTGCCATGGGCCAAGGTCATGACACACTCTCAGGTCTTCAATAATCTTTGTACCAAGAATGAGCTTCAATGATTCTCCATTGCAAACTGATATCCTGGACAAGAAGTTTATATCATTTCTGTCAGTGACCTTGAATTTTGCCAGACTGTTTGATGGGATCCCGCCAATCAAGTCGGGTTCATCAGGACATTTGAGCAATATAAGCCTTAAAGATTCAACAAACTTTCATAAAATAATTATCGTTAATATTAATAAATTAGTTTAAAACTATACTAAACATAACTATTTACATCATATTGAAACATTGTACTGAACAAAAGTAGTTTTGCCCTCGACTTGTTAATAACAGCTGTGGCTAAAAATAGTGATTGGGTCATGTGGGGATTTTTTCTTTACAGAGCAATGACTGTTTACAATCTAACATATAAGAAAGGATAAGATAGGCTAAGATCCCTTTTTGGCCCCTGGTTTGGGGTGTCTTTTAGAATGTTGCAACAGTTTTTCAGTTAAAAACCTGTTGTCACCCCTGCCATAAATTGAGTATTGTTTCTAAGTAATGGGATACACAGAGGCCACAGGAAGGTCAGGAAAAATGTCAGTTTCCGAATTTTCTCATTTTATGCAAATTTTCATTGGTTTTACAGCACATTTTGGATCAGAAAACATAGAGCACAAGCTTGCCTATCTACCAAATTTATATATTTCATACAATAGTATCAGATGCATCTTATGTATAACTAGAAATATGTCCATAGGACATGAATGCCCCGCCAAGGGTATATTAGTAATGCAACATTTTAACACAAATTGAGAAAAGTGAGGTCAAGGTCAAAGGAAAGGTCAAGGTCAAAAAATATTGCTGCAGTTGAATAGCTTACATCAGTATGTATCAGCATATGACGTTTGATTCAGAAACTAATTTAAGAAAAGTGAGGTCAAGATCAAAGGAAAGGTCAAGATCAAAAAATGTTGATGTAGTTGAAAAGGTTACATCAGTATGTATTAGCATATGAAGTTTGATGAAAATATTATGAATGGTTTCTTTAAAACTGAGCTAAACACTAATTTAAGAAAAGTGAGGTCAAGGTCAAAGGAAAGGTCAAGGTCAAAAAATGTTGATGCAGTTGAAAGGGTTACATCAGTATGTATTAGCATATGAAGTTTGATGAAAATATTATGAATGGTTTCTTTAAAACTGAGCTAAACACTAATTTAAGAAAAGTGAGGTCAAGGTCAAAGGAAAGGTCAAGGTCAAAAAATATTGATGCAGTTGAATAGCTCTCATCAGTATGTATCAGCATATGAAGTTTGACACTAATTTAAGAAAAGTGAGGTCAAGGTCAAAGGAAAGGTCAAGGTCAAAAAATGTTGATGCAGTTGAATAGCTCTCATCAGTATGTATCAGCATATGAAGTTTGTTAAAAATATCTTGAATGGTCTCATTAAAACAGAGCTAAACATTAATTTAAGAAAAGTGAGGTCAAGGTCAAAATAAAGGTCAAGGTCAAAAAAATGTTGATGCAATTGAATAGCTTACATCAGTATGTATCAACATATGAAGTTTGATTACACTATCTTGAATGGTATCTTTAAAACTGAGCTAAACACTAATTTAAGAAAAGTGAGGTCAAGGTCAAAGGAAAGGTCAAGGTCAAAAAATGTTGATGCAGTTGCATAGCCCTCATCAATATCTATCAGCATATGAAGTTTGATAAAAATATCTTGGATAGTTTCTTTGAAACTGAGCTTTGAACAGAGCTAAACGCAAAGTGTGACGGAAGGACAGACGGAAGGACAGAAGGACGGAAGGACGGAAGGACGGAAGACGGACATGACAAACACTATATGCCCCGGCCATATTCATGGCGGGGCATAAAAATCTCAGATAGGCAGCCTTGTGCTCTATATTTCCCAAAGTGAAAAGTATCTCAAATCAGGGGTTTAAATTTTCCTGGAAAACCCACTAGCCCAGGGGCTATTGACCAGTAAAAATTACTAGCCCAAACCTCAAACTAACTAGCCCAACAACTTTTTCATGCGAAATGAAAACATAACAAGTAAAAGTTTTAAAGGCTGTGGTGACAGAAACAAATTAAACTACAATGTAGTTCTCAGTCTAATGAAACCACTCGACATAGAAAAATGAAAGTAAACTGTTGAGATTTTTTCCCCATTCTGCTAGTCCGATGGACTATCATTACATCTGAATTAGCTAGCCCGAGTCTTAAATTGACTAGCCCCAGGCATCAGGCTACCATATATTTCAACCCCTGCAAATTTGACAAAATGCAACCAGAATTGAGGAAATTCTGGAAAATAACCTACTTCTACACCCTCTTGTGGCCTCCGTGTAAGCTTTGAATCAAAATTAGTGCTGGTTTTAAAACAAGCATTATTTTTAATTCTTACCTGCAAACTATCACAATTTTAACTGTGTTCTGATTTTTACATCAAACAAGGGGCCAGATTCGGCCGTTACCATATCTTGTCCTTTCTTTAAAAGTTTTTAGATTATTTATTTGAAGGACTGAAATGGGGATTCAACAGTTATTTTATCAATACGACCACTTGGTCTTTTACACGACTGGACCACTCATTTACTAGACTGGGTCAAACATGCCTTAGTGTCAAACCCTGTTGAACTAGCCTGAATGACCTTGGGTCAAGATCTTGACACACCAACAGGTCATAAACATTCTTTGTACCAAGTTTGAGCTTCCAATGACCAACAAGTTGGCACCGATAGACTGACAAGGTGATTCTTATATATTCCCCCAACCTTTATTGTGGGGGTAGAAGACCAGCATGATGAATATAAGACAGAACATTCAGGATCTAAATGAAAAATGGGGACTCCTGATACACGTATCAGAGTGGAAGGAGATGCTCAATACAAAATTGCCACCTTCAGTGCCATTGGGAAAACCCAATTCTAAGCTGCTACCCAAGTGACATATACTGTGTTCTTAGAGGAAGAAAATTGTAGCAGTGTTCTATGGAAATAAATTTTGTAAGAAAGGTGAAAGCTGAGAAATAAAGGAAAGGAAGTTACCTGCCCAGCCATGAGGACTGCACTGTCACCATTCCTCCAAAGACAATGATTGTGGATGAGAAGAGATGGGCTGCAGAAAGTGAAAGTAAGCTGCAAAGTGATGACCATCCACTAGTCATCTATTTCACCAGTGGTGGTTAAGGTGCCACTCTATACAGATTATCTGAAAAAGAAGGAAATTTCATTGAAAACCTAAAAGATCTGCTGCAATTCTTTGATTCTCAAAGAAAACAGACAGCTATGGCTCAATTAGCAGCCACACATTTCTGAGAAGAATAAAAGAATCCACACAAAGAAAATTTGCCTTTGACCTAAAGCTTCGATGCAAAACAGAGTAAAAAAAAATATCAGTACTATTAGCACTATTCAATGAGATTTACCTTTGATTAAGTGGGCCACGTCTTTTACCATCAATTCAATCATAAGCTGCTACCAGAAACAGTGTGGAAAGTCCTGTCAACTTACCGGTAATTCCTTTTCCTGTCGATGACTGAAAAGCAATGAGTGGAAATTTCAGTGTTGCCTAGTGACTATGAATTAAACATGACAGAAGAAAATGTTTGTTAGAAGATTATTAACTTGACTTTTAAGTTCAAATAATCTTGCTAGCTAAAATTAAAAGAGTGTTCCAAGGAACACGTGTCGCCTGATGAACAGCATCATTATTTACGATTAAAAGAAAATCTAAGGGTGGTCAAATATTATTTGATACAAGCATTATGAGGGCTGTTAAGAGATTATTAGTACATAGTGTTTATTTTTCTTTCCAAGTAATGCCTTTTGGTGAAAAATGGCATATATGTTTGACAAACACTAAGAATTAATAAAAGCAACAAATATTTTACAAATATTTTATTTCTTCTTTTCAATGGTATATTAATGGGTAAATAGAAATTAGTAAATTTCATTTCAATTCATTTTGTGCAAGCTTCTTAGAATTTCAATCAGAAATACGGAGATCATAAAAAAATCTAAGCTAGGTATAGATATCTGATTACATCAATAAAATAGATTTTGACGTCAACGCGACACAGCAAGCATACCTATAGAATTTTACGTAGCTCTTTGGAGAACTCTTTTCCAGACTAAAAGATCTGCTAAAACAATAACAACTAGTGCTAACTGTAACGAGAACTGTTTCAGATGTTCCCCAAACACTTCCCCATTCTCTTATGGGCCCCATTCATTACAGGCTTCATTTAATTATGCAATTCTTTTGTTTAATAAATCTATACTTTATTTTCAGTAGTATTTATTCGAAAAACAACACTGGTATAGTTCTTTGAGTATTACATTAGCCAATTGGATTTCAGCGCATGCTAGGCCTGAGTATATCGCAAACTACCTAACAATGATATGGTCATGTGATATACAACATGTACCATGATACAGCTGTCACCAATTGAATTAAGCTTTATCTTAACATATAATTCTTTGCTAACTCCACAGTTATAGAAAATATACAAAGAATATCTTGATAACCCTTATCAAAGTTAATAAAAGGTGGATTTATAGTCTTGATATTGTATTTTTTCTTTGCTACCTTTTTTCAGCCATTTTAAAGCATTAAAATTTGTTAGGTTGAATGCAGAAGTTACAAACAAAACAATGAAAATTATCTTCTACTGTATCACAATACATACATGGCGATACGCGTATCGTCAGCCCTTGCGATCAATACGATCGATGTATTGCTGTATCCTTACACCTCTAGCGCATGCACATGCCCATATTTTCTAAATATTTCATATTCCTTCCTCGTGAAGAGACTCACAATAAATAGCTATGTAAGAAATCTAAAGATTTTCATTGAAAACTATGAGAGATACAGCCATATAAGTATTAGCAAATCAGAATCCACGTTCTTGCATTCAATTTTCATAGTAGCACAATGTAGGAACCCATTACACCTATCTATATTGTAAATTCCATCCAGTTTTGTTAAAAACTAAGAAAGTTACTACTGTAACAGCCATTTAAAGTTTAAGCCAATCAAATTGCAGCACACTTGCATGAGCGTGTTTTCACAATATCTCATATATTATATCAAAATGGAGAGCCTTTTTGTGTATGACTATGTTTTAAATTTCAAAGCATTTCATCAAAAAAAAAAGGTTATTGAGATTTTTTGTGTCAGTCAAACAGAGCAAAGCACACATGCATGCACATGCTTTCTTGCTAATTCAACCACCTCTTCTTGTCTACACTACTAATATAAGTTTATACAATGCAGTTCAAAGCATATCATAAAAAAACAGGAAGGTTAATGGTGTTTCAATTGCTTCAGTCATTTCACTCCTTGCACGCGCACGCATGTGCATGTAAGTGTGGGTAAAATGACCTTCCTTCTGCACATCTACGCAACATGCCTGTTAACCCTAAAAAGGTTTCATCTCAATCAGTTGAGTAGTTTCTGTGATGACAGAGAAAGAAGCATTAAAGCTTCCAGACTGTCTCAACACGGTAAAGATCTATGGCTGGCATGAGATGAAAATGAAGAAGCAATGATGCTTTAGGTCAATAGACATATGCAAGTTTATAATTCCAATGGGACATGTCTAATTATCCTATCAATTAGAAATTTTGCATAGCTGTTTTATTTGTTCTTGTTAAAATGTTGACAAATTTTCATGAATTAATGTCTTTCTTTTATGGAGTAAAAGTAAATGTTTAATTTCAAAATAGCCCTTATATAGCAAAGAAAAAAAATCCACAAATAGTAAGACCCATACAGAATAGCATTTATCATATAAAATCTGACAATAGATATATGATTCTCCACCCTTCAAAGCTAAAGTGAATTATAAAATTGAAATTAACAAGAAGTCTGTGAGCCAATGTTCACTAGTAATACCCCCGCTTTGATGTGAATATACATTCTGATGTGAATATACACAAGTTCAGTTATGGACAGACTCAAGGATGAACAAGAAGTTGACATCGGATTTGTACAAAAATGAATCCCAAAATATGACATGCCTAAACAAAGAATGTGCTAAAATTTCAGGCATCTGCAATCAGTAGTTGCTGAGAAAATTGCGACCAAAATTTGTTATGTATGGTACGGACAGACACACGGATAAACAGGAAGATGACATCGGATTTGTACAAAAATGAATCCCAACATATGACATGCCTAAACAAAGAGTGTGCTAAAATTTCAAGCATCTGCAATCAGTAGTTGCTGAGAAAATTGCGACCAAAATTTGTTATGTATGGTCCGGACAGACACACGGATAAACAGGAAGTTGACATCGGATTCGAACAAAAATGAATCCCAACATATGACATGCCTAAACAAAGAGTGTGCTAAAATTTCAAGCATCTGCAATCCGTAGTTGCTGAGAAAACTGCGACCAAAATTTGTTATGTATGGTACGGACAGATGCACGGATAAACAGGAAGTTGACATTGGATTCGTACAAATATAAATCCCACTACTGTAGATTCCTAAATATACATGAGGAATAAATTATCGCGTAATTACGCGAGAAGCACCGCTCGTGAAATAAAATTACTCGCTTTTATTTTTATGGTGCTTTAATGTATGTAAAAACTCTAGATAAAACAACCATTCGCGAATTATTATTCTCGCGATTTGACACCCTTGGGTCATTTCGCGATAATAAGTACTCGCGTAAAATAAGGAATCTACAGTATATGGCATGCCTAAACAAAGAATGTGCTAAAATTTCAAGCATCTGCAATGAGTAGTTGCTGAGAAAACTGCAACCAAAAATTGTTATGTATGGTACAGACAGACGCACGGATAAACAGGAAGTTGAAATCAGATTCGTATGAAAATGAATCCCACCATATGGCATACCTCAATAAAGTGTGTACTAAAATTTCAAGCATCTGTGATGAGTAGTTGCTGAGAAAACTGTGACGAAATATTTGTTACGGACAGACAGACAGACACACAGACAGACACACAAGGGTAAAACAGTATACCCCCCTCTCCTTCGGAATGGGGGTATAATTATTAAAATAATTATTTTTAATAAATATATCTTTATCCCAGATATCTTCCAAAAGAGATTTCAGTCTCTATTCACTCTACAACGATACTTTTGGTATACCCATCCTGATGTCTTTTCATTGTATTTAAATTTCAGTTTGTGTGGTTATATTGCATACAGTTTCAAAGTACAGTGTCATGAGCTCATATACAGTAACATGTGATATAAATGCTAATTATCAAAATCCTGCCTCTCAAAATCAAAAAACAAAGAAAAAAATAATAATAATTCAATCAACCGCCAGAGTGATTTTATACAATCAAAGGTCAAGGTCAACTGAATTGTAATGTAACGAACTCACTTGCATTGAACTCTCTTTGTTTGAAAAATCGGTTTGTTTGAAATGAACTGGGTTTCTCCTAAAATGCTGGTACAGTTTCTTTGCAATAAATACTCGTTTAGATTGAAATCGGTAAACTTGAAAAACTCTGTTAATTTGAAGTGATTTTGGGGTCCGCTGAACACAAAGCTTATAGCAGTTTTGATAACGGGTACATTGAAGTTGCCGATTGTGACGCGTGGACTCAGGTGACTGACTATATATAAAGTCTAGCACGTGTTAATTTTTCACAGGTGATTTGATGTTGGTGGACCTGTACAAATTTAATTATGTGTTGTATAGATAAAACAATAATCATTGAGCATTTCTCACCGTAACATATTAGTCGCCATTTTTATTTTCTAACTATGGCATTAAGACCGACATGGATAAAATACGCAGGGGTGTCATGTGTACATTGGTGTGTGGAGAATAGGGCTGTGTATTGACCAAAATATTTCGATAAGATATTTTATAAAGCAATATGCAATATATTGGATTCTAAAATAAGTCTAGCAAAAAGGTCTTGTAAATCATTTAATGCATAAATTTGATAAAAACTGGGTGTTTTAATACCAAATTGGAAGTTCACATGTCTCACTGTCTTTACAAAGAACACTTCAAATTCAAACTTTTAATGACTGAAAAACTAATATGTTAAAATATAGTTGTATATGAATTTTGCAATAGTTAATTAAGATGTGCTATCTCCTTAATGTTTATTTTATTATTGACCAGTTTTAATTAAAAACAGTTAAAAATTATCTTTGGTGACTGAAATTCCCAACTTTTTCACAGAATTATAAGAAAAACTGTCTGCCCAATACGTATTGGAAGTTAGTTTGTCGATACGATAAATTCCTGAATATCGATATGTATTGATTAATCAATATATTGACACAGCCCTAGTGGAGAAAGTGCCGGAGTAAATAAATCCACTGTAATTAAGTAAATGGAAAATAAACTTCCTGAATTGAAGTATATGAAGCATATGTTTTCAATGCTGATGAGACAGGGCTGTTCTATAGATTCGAACCTGACAAATCATTGCATCTATGCGGCAATGTTCAGGACGAACATTTTTCGTGTATAAATAGTCTTGATAGTTTTCTAACACAGATCAAAAAAAAAATAAAAATAAAACAGTAAAAAAAATTTAGGACTTTTTGAAAAATAGAGATAAGTACATTTCTGAAACACTGCATGTAATGTTATGTAAAAAATATGAATTCGCAATTGTATATTTTTTTTACTGTACAGTCAAGCCTCGGTACCTCTAACTTGAAGGGACCAAGAAAAAACTTCGAGATATCTGAGGATTCGAGATATCGAGGGTAAAATGCTTAAAGAATAAGTGGTTGGTACAGCAAATCACTTTGACATATCCATGGTATTCAAGATATCAGTGTTCCAGATAATGAAGTTCAACTGTATCTACATTTTTTATGTAATTCATAGCACACAGATATAATGAAATTCGTTTACTTTGAAATAAATCTCAAGGTCCCTTAAATTTCAATGTAAACGAGTTTGACTGTATATGGTATTTTACAAAAGCCAAAGTGCCAAGCAATGCAAGTGCAAAGTATCAAATCCATTCCTCTTACAGTTCTCAAGATCTAGGGTATGACAGACAGACAGACACCATGTAAAGTGATCTCTAAGTGTCACTTTTACCAAAATTTTTTTTCATAATTATTTTGTTTTCTTACCTCTCTGAAGAGCATGACAAAGGTTACATAGGTGACAGGTAGAAATACATGTCATGGGATGTATTGGTGTAATCTTTTTAGTGAGCAGATTGCATCATGAATTGTTTATCTGCCGTTGCTGATCTTTAACAAGGAAGACTTCTCCTGAAATAAGAAAAATTATTTTCAAAAGTGAAGTTACCTGTTACTCTTAAAGGGACATAGACACTGATTCGACATTTTGAAATATTTTCTCAAATTGTCTGTATTATATCATGACATATATGTGGCTATAGCATTTCACACGGAAATATAATAAAAAACTTATTTTATCTGTAAATTATTGAAACTATGAATTTCAGGATGCGTTTGATTGACACATCCTTGCACTTTCACAAGTAAACTTCATCCTTAATACTTAAGAAAAATAGGTTTTTTGATACATATTAATGAAAAAATATAAAAAAAAAAATATAATCCAGAAAATTAAGAGTAGAAATCAGAGAAAGCAAAACCAACTAACCAGTATTGTCAGTCCGTGCTCAGTGATGTGTGAAGAGTTTAACAAATTGAACACAAAACAGTTTACGTTCCATTGGGTGTGTTCAATTTGTTAAACTCTGCACACATCACTGAGCACGGACTGACAATACTGATGAGTTGGTTTTGCTTTCTCACATTTCAACTGTGAATTTTCTGGATTTATCTTTAATTTTTTTTACTAAAACACAACAAAATTTCTACTTTTTTTAAGTATCAAGGATGAAGTTTTACTTTGTGAAAGTGCAAGGATGTGTCAATCAAATGCGTCCCTAAATTCGTAGTTCAATAATTTCCAGGTAAAATAAGTTTTTTTATGATATTTCCCTGTGAAATACTATAGCCACACATGTCATGATCTAGTCGAAAATTTTAGAAAATATTAACTTCAAATCTGAGTCTATGCCCCTTTAAAGGTCATACACAAGAAAATAATTCATTATATTTTACTATAAAGCCTTGATTAAATTATTAATCAATTAATATGACCCTCACTAGATAAAAGATGAAGAAAAAATGAATGATGCTTGGACAAAAATTTGAGACCAGAAATAAAATAATTCCGTATGCAGCTTTTAATAGAGAAAATTGATATTATTGATAGGTAAGATACCTTCAATCATGTGGATTTCACATGCTGATAAACAATTTACACACCATCCAGGAAGTTGCATCATGAGCACCTAAAAAAGGAGTATTCCTTAAATTCATTGATTGCCCACAAGTATAATATTCCTAATATTTGAGTAAAAAATAAATACTGTAGGCCTAAAATGAAAACCGAAAAAGAAAACCTGAAAAGAAATTGTCTCTTTCTACAAAGAACAATAACTGACTAAGTTCATTTTGATTTGCTATTCCTGGCTCTAAGCTAAGCATGGCATAACAAGGGTCTACTGGAAAGAAAGGGTAAATTATTCATATGGTAAAAAATTAACAAATCAAACTTTGTAAATAAATACCCAAGCATTTGGTTTTGTCTTTGATTTCGACAAAATGTTATTGATCTCCAAAAATTTTTGTTTATGTGTGCTGAGCCACAGTAAAATTTTAAATGTTGTAGAACTGTATATCCATATATAGATTCAGTAAGAAATTTCTAGTCATTTGACAAGTTAATTTCACAGTTTCACCAAAGTTTGATTAACAATGTTATTGTTAATAAAATATTATCCAATTTAAGCTTATAGTTATATTATTAAAGTGCAATTTGTCAAAGTAAAAAATGCCTGTAAAAGAACAAGTGGCCATGGGCAACAATGCTCACCCAAGTCACTATGGCCTTGCTGTTCTACTTTTTTTTTTACTACACATGATGATGTATATTTATTAATATGTAAAAATTTGATTGTCCATTGTGGCCCCACCCTACCCTGTGGGGGGGGGGGGGGGGTCATGATTTAAACAAACCTGAATGTACACTAAGTAATGAAGCTTTCAGAGAATTTTCATTTTCTGGTCCACTGATTCTTGAGAAGAAATGTTTTTAAAGATGCCATTAAATTTACAACAATTCTTAATTATTTCCCCTTGAAAGAGGGTGTAGCCCTTCATATGAACAAACTTGAATTTCCTTTACCCAAGGATGCTCTGTGGCAAGTTTGGTTAATATTGGCAAAGTGGTTCTGGAGAAAAAGATGAAAATGTGAAAAGTTTATGTCGCCGCCTCCAACAACAACAGTGACAGACAACAGACAAATTTTGATCAGAAAACCTCTCTTAAGCCTTTGGCTCAGGTGCTAAAATAAAAAATGGAGAAATAAAATTTATTGTTCATGACAGTTTTACTTATGTATTTTAAAACTCTTTCTCAAATACCATGGATATGTCTAAGTGCTCAAGTTCAGTGAGTTTATGAACTTTACCCTCTATTCTTGAAACCTCAATTATCTGTTTCTCAAAGATTTTTTTTTTTCAGTCCCATCTATTGCCATAATAGGCTTATCTCCAGGGGGTCCTCATGACTAGCAATTACATAAGCAATAGTGTTTTTGGATATTAATATATTGAAATAAATAAAACTGAATAATTAAATGACAAGATATGCATTCGACATTGGGTGACACAATTGGGGAAAATATTCTGGTATGTTACCCTCGAAGTAAGTGATTGTGAAATTTACTTGTCTGAACATAACTTTTACTTGTATAAAAATATTTCATAAAAGACCTATTTAACAATTTGAAAAAATATTGTACATTACAATAGTCTATGATACATTCATTGAGTCTGTTTTTGAGATTTTGAGTGGACACATCTATTGCAAATTACTAAACTATATCATCCTATCCTAAAGTAGATGTAAATCATGTTATATAATTACATGTATGAAAGAAAAATAGTAACAAGAAATAGCTGACTATATGACTTCAAATTTTTCTTTGCCTTCTTTTGCTTATCCTTTGTAGCCTAATTGTCTTTTGCTAAAGCTCTCCTGCCAGATAATAAAAACCCAAATTTCCTTCAGTAAAAGTACACGTTTCAAAGTTACTGTAGTTCTAAGTAGTCAACTTCCTGGTATTTTAAATATTAAAATTAAAATTGTGACAAATGCCTGAAAAACATCAGATATTTCAGACAAGTTTCATAGTAACATTGTTCCTGATCAAGTTTGACAACCAGGGCCATCATTATTACGAGCAGGATCATTCAACATTTAACTATTTACAAACCGCATGCATGGCATGTTTTCATTTTGAACCTCCGATAAAAAGTTGACAACAAATTTTAATTCTTTAAGTTTTCATGCTCAGCTAAAAAAAAATTCTTCCTAGAAAAATATCCCTTGTCAAATCGGACAAGTGGTCAGTAATTATCACTTGTTCATGAAAAATTTTACTGGTACATGTACTGGACAAGTGGATGAGCATACAATGTCGAGCCCAGGAACTCTGCCCCATTTTTTGTTTATATTTGCCTTAGCAACTAACAGCATTAAATCTCGAACCCGAGCTATTATAATATGTAGCATAAAAGCACACGAAGATGATCAAGAGGGTGTTACAACTGTTTCTGTTTTGTTGTATTTGTTTCTAGCATTTGTTATTAACTGTTTCTGATGTGATGTGAATTCTTCATGGTAAATATAGTGAAACTATATTTGTGATAAAAACATGATAAAAAAAAATAATAAAAAATGTTTTTCAAAAATGTAAATGATACCAGTAGTATAAAAACTCATTTTTAAGCATTTTAGAGTAGAATATAAACATCGAACCTAATGGGTCCTAGAAAGAACTTTGTGATATCCTACCATTCAAGATACTGAAGTTAAAATATGTACTTATAGCATAGCATAAATTTTCCATCTTTAACACTCAGTTATACCTCGATAAATATTGCTAATGAGAGGAGGAGCGCAATTAATATTTCTATCTTCATGATAACACAAATCTAAATAAGTCAGTTATTTTTATAGCTAATTTAGCCTTCATTAAGTTCAAAAAATTTCTTTAAATCTGTTAAGAATCAGACAAGTCAAAAATATTTATGCATTCGGACACAGGGTTTAACATTTATAAGGCATGTCTGATCGACACTGACTAGTAAAAGTTTGGTCCTGTCTAAAAATTGAGTGTACATCTGACATGTAAAATTAATATAACAAGTGTGCAGCATGTGTATTTTATTCATCTGCTCTCATGTACACACAGGATTCGAAATACCCCAAACTGTAGGGGTCTTCAAATACAGTCATGACTTTAATGATTTTAGGTTAAAATTAAAAACAAGTAATTGTAATTGGAAGTATTCTATCAATACTAATATGTCAAGTTTCATCCACCAGTATAATGCTACGACATTGACGAGAAAAAACCATGCGTTTTCTACATGGGCATTTCTTCAATCAATTTGTTTATGTACCAGTATAAATTTATAAGAATCCTCTTGGGTTTTAATGTGATGGAGGAGGGTGCATTTAGTCATCAGGATGTTGTAACGCAGTCTTAAAACTCTTTAATAGCTTTGGGGCACGAACTACTTTTAAATTAGTTAAATAATCTAACTGCGTCTCCAGACGAGCCCTCACCACACCTCTCTTAAACCGGGTCTGAAGCTCATTAATCATTTTAATGATTAGAAAATTCTATCTACAACTACTTCCTCTTCCAGATGACATCAGTCTATTGCAGTGCAAACAAAAAATTAGTTTTATATTTTTTGGTTTTGGTGTTTGGTATCTACACTGCTTTACTGTTGTTACAAGGACTACAGCAAGTTAAACTATGAATTAAATTATTTTTTAACCCCACTAGTGATTGTACCAGCTAAATGACTGTGTATCAGTGTGATAGAGTGATATTTTAATTTATTTTATTAAGTGAATATTATATTATATAGTTCAGTGACTTAATATTCACGTGTATATATTTTATTTTTAGCATCGCGCAGCATTTCGTTTTCACGGAGTTTTGCGCTCACCGTTAATAAAATTAATAAAATATTACAACTTCATTTGGTTTTAATCTTTACTTATGTTCTAGAAGTTCTTACTTATCCTGAGGGTATATAATGTTATTGGTCAGTTTTAATATCCAAGCTTGCGATTGGTTAGGGACGTTTTTCCCGCCGATCTCTTTGTGTATCGGTCAGACATCTATAGACCATTGAGAAAGTGAGATGAGTATTTTTGGTCATCATTATATACAATATTAATTTTGAGACGAGACCTCAGGACAGAGACTGTAAGTTGACTTCTATTTCTTTTATCTTTACTAATTCTTATTCTATACTTTCCGATAATTCATCGTCTTTGATTTTTAATGTAATTTTGTGAAGATATACTGAGTTCAACTTTATCATTATTAAATGAAGCTTAAAGTATAAATTCTTTGAGTATGTAAATAAAATATCAATTATGCAGAAGTGTATATAGAAGATAATTATTGTTTAATAGGAGTATATATATCAAGACCCGTTATTTTTATCGGGTGGCCATTGTTTGAGCCTTGATCCACAATCAGGTATACCTACAATTATTTTCTATTTATTGTGTATATATTATTGCAAATAGATTTGTGAACTATTCATTTTATTTGTAATAGTTCTATTTGGAATAGTTCGATTTATATTCTCGTTTTCAAGACGTCGATGTAAGGGAAATAACTCTTACTTTTCCATGTATTTATTTCAATGCTCAGTATAATGTGTAATACTTTTATGATTGATTATTATAAAGTAATTCATGCCTAAATTCATGAATATCATTATAAATGTAATATGGTTGTTTGTTTTCTAAATACTTATAATTTGTTATTGATATTTTCAGGGCTTTATTGATGTATTTATTTATTCAACATGACAAAATAAAATGATCGAACCTTAGACGCAGGAGTTCTTCTTTAACAGCATAAGAAAACCCTGTTACAGAAATGGCGCCCATGTAGGGACCCTGCATTCCATTCCTTTTGTAAAGTTTCCCGTGTGTGTACTGTGGTGATTAACTCAGTTCGTGGTACTGCTGGACTGTGACAATGTCGGAAGTGAATATGATATGCTACGACGTCTAAGATGTCCATGGACTTACCAGTATTATAAAACTTTAGTGTAGTGATTTGTGTATATATATACATGTATATTTTGCCTGGCCAGTAGAAATACAGAGAGAGAGAGTACGTACGTACGGTAAGATTGTAAAGTTACCCTTTTTGCACTTGTGTTATTTTTTCACCTCTGTTAAGTT